CCCTTTTTGTTGTTTAGAGAATAGGGAGTGGGGGAATGGTCAAATCCGATATAATGGGTCACTCAAACAAACGATCGTTACACTTTTTGATCTATTTTCGAGGGAAGCCTGGCGTGTGCCATAAAGTTGATAAGCGTTCATAAAAAGGTCATTGAATAAGGCATTAAAATTTTATGATTCATTATGAGTAAATTACATAATGTATATATAAAGATACTTTATTCAGATAAAGATTCAGATATTGAGATAAAGTGCGCTAGATTTAAGATTAAAACACACGAATTCATACACATAACACGAAAAGGGCCGATAAAAAGAAACACGATAGAATGCATGCAATGGATGGCACAGATAACGTCAAGGATCCACTAGAGCTTCAAGATCAAGATCATCTACAGATAATTGAAAGGTTTCGAGACTATTGGACTCTCTCAAAACTCTGAGGAATCGATTCCCAATTCTGGCAGTTCTTATTGGAAAAGAGTTATAAACAAACTTATTGGAGGTGACTGGAATCTCTAAAACGAAAGAACCTCTCCTTGAACTAACCGTGGGATTAACTTTGAATAAATCTCGAAAAAGAGGGATAGGTTGCCTGCCATTTACAATTTTCAAACATTCTATTAAATCCGTGACCAAGCAGCGGTGTCTAAGAGATTTAAGATCAAAAATTTTGAGTCTGTCTGTGTAGCTAAAGTATGCAAATTTGGAAAAATCTATTTTCCATAGAGTTACCTTATCATTGAAAAAAAATTCATCAAGCTCTTTGAGTAGAGCATTTTCTAAAACATGAAAAGCTTCAAAAACTATGTACGATTTTACACGACTTGTACAGGTAAAAAAAGTGTAAATGATTTGAATTTGAAAAACTCGAAGCTTATATTTTGGCAAAAAGCGCATGGAGGTTTTTGAATGTTGGCCAAAATCGAATCAAAATATTCTCCCGGAATACCGCCAAAAGCACTCTCGAAAAAGCCATCTAAATACAAAGAGAAACCGACGAGTTGTCGCGAAAAATATGCAAATTTTGAAATATGGTTAGTCCGCTTTGAACCCCAAGAGAGATTTCACGTATTGGATAGGAAATTGGAAGGGAAGGGAAGAATTTATAGGAAGAATCAAGGTTTTTAAGGGAATTCATAACGAATTTTGTATCAAATTCAGATTAGTTTCTAATTCTGGAAGTAATTTGAGGCTTTATATAAAGTAAAATTGTTTTAGAATTCAATTTTTAGAAGTCAATAAAGCCAAAAGTCTTAGGACTTTTACAATTCATTTTTTGTAAGTATTTCAAAGCTCAAAAAGCAATATTGTTGAATCTTTGAAACATTTTTGAATTAAGATACGCGCTTGAAAGTTTGGATCAGAAAAATGTCCAATGTTTGTATAAATTTGAGTCCAAAAAAAGTCTCCGATTTCTAGTCTACTACCAAAAGTACTAAAATCTAGAAAATGAAAGAAAATAACAAAAGGTATCATCACGCAACGTTTTATTTGTTGGTGAGAGAAAAGCTCACAATAAAGGGGAAAAGAAGGCGCACACGGAAGCCGCTTTTCTCGATGGATGGACGAATCAGTGCCACAGAGAAAAGGCAAAGGAAAAAAAAAGTCAAGAGCCTTTCATATTTTTTGTTTGCTTTCGTGTGCGTGCTACGGCCATTTTCGATACTCAAGAGTGCGGGGATCACATTTGAAAATTCTGAATGTACGTTGTAGTGTATTTTTTGCCATCTGTTAAAGCTTTCCAAATTCCTTTCACTGAACTTAGTGATTTGATTTTGCAGATGGGACCAAAAATTACTGGAATTTGCAGAGGTATCGTCATTGCTGATTCAACCTTTATTCTTGATAACTAGAAAAGTGGAGACCCATCTTTGTCCCGCTTTTTCAAGGGGACTTCCAAAAATTCGTTGATACTCATAATCGTTCGTCTGCACGGAAATCTTTAGTAAAAGGCGAAAGATTTTCTCGGTCAAATGCAGACGAACCAGAGATGGGTAAACGAGGAAAGGAAGGGATATAAGGAAAAGGAGTATGCCAAAAAGAGAGCGATTACGAGCATGCACAAGGTACGCCCCCAGGAACCATCACGTTCTACTGGGACCTTGGTTATTAAGACTGACTCTTAAATAGCTATTGCAGTGACAATTGAGACTAACATCGACCACGACAGTTCTCGAAAATACAGTACCGAACTAAAAATCAAGTTCCGGTTTTTTTCCCTAGCTTTGAAGCACTATAACTCGAGAACTATAGATTGGAGTCTATAAGTGATTCCCATTTTAGAAATTTTTGTCCCGCTTTTGCAAGGGGACTTCCAAAAATTCGTTAATACTCATAATTGTTCGTCTGCACGGAAATCTTTAGTAAAAGGCGAAAGATTTTCTCGGTCAAATGCAGACGAACCAGAGATGGGTAAACTAGGAAAGGAAGGGATATAAGGAAAAGGAGTATGCCAAAAAGAGAGCGATTACGGGGATGTACAAAGTACATCTGTTCAAAGAGGGGACAAGGCTTTCAATACATTGATGATGGAAACTATGTAATCTCTGGAGCTAATCAAATTGCATAAGTGGCAAGAATAATGTTCATTACTGAATGCTTTGCAAAAACAAATGGTCAATAATTATTGAAGATCGGCATATGGCTAGAGTGGGGAGAGTAATACAAATCGAAGAAATGAGGAGGTGAGGGACTCTTGAATGGAAAGAAAAGAAGGGGAAAAGGGGTAGATGAGTCAAGATTAGCACTCATTATTGAAGGACAGAAGGGGAGTCCATCTCTTTTCAAAACACAAGAATGAACCAATGAGATGCGGGATTTGGTGCCTGAAAGGTATCTTTGCTTAATGTATTCTAGTAAAAGATTGGAAACGAAGAAAATGTACTAATTCTTAGGTGCATTCAAGCAAGTATAAAAATCAACGGCACCTTTTCTATCACCCTCCTGTTTTCTTACAAACTTGCAACGTCTATTGGGTTGCGGAGGGTGACTTTGCGACCTATTGAAATGTTAAATTTCATCCAGAATTTAAATATCATTCATTCATTTCAATCATTTCAAATTTTCATCATTGTTTTGTACAATTTGAGCTCATTTTACTGGTAAAAGTCTAAGATCTCTCTTTCTGGAAAATCTATTTTGAATTAAAACAATGAGTGGGCTAATTTTCAGAAGTAAATCAGCCAGAAATTAGGCTCAAACTTGGCTTTGGCCTGACCTAATCTTATCTAAGCTATAACCTGTAAAATAAGAATTTATTAGGCTATCCAGAAAGATTTTGTTTGTTTTATGAAGCTTTTAGACTCAAAGCTATTCATTCAAACTCAAATTCATGTTACGCCTGAATCCGATCAGGCACCCAGATCGGATCTGGGCGCCCATATCCGATCACATTCTTTGTGATTTTTGCTCATTTATTGTTCTAATTCTTTTTGCATTGGATAGAGCATTTTATAGGCTACATTTTGACATATAATACATGTCAATATCTTTTTAAATTAGCAAGAAAACCCTGTTTGAAAGCTCCTTCGGGTCGGGATGGCGGGTCAAGCGTATTTTTCTCGTCCTTCTTAGGAGTTTTTGCAATGTATTATATGTCAAAATGTAGGCCATAAGGTGTTCAATCTAATGCAAAAAAAATTAGAATAATAACTTTTTCAGTAGAAAATTACAAAGAATGTGATTATGGGACAAAGATCGGATATGGGTCACTGATCAGGCGTAAGATGGGATATATACAGTACTGGACAATGAAATATCATATTTGAAAAACGATCGTCACTTTCGCGCGTATGTAACTCCCTTGTCTTTGCGTTTAAACTATTAGTGTTATGCATTTTCTGAAAGCTATTTTCTAGGGCTACACAATGGTAATATTAATCTTTAGAAATACGGTAAAGACAATGGAGTTACAGGCGCGCGAAAGTGACGATCTTTTTTTCAAATATGATATTTCATTGTCCAGTAGTGTATATGTTACGTCCGAATCTGAGGAGATTCATTCTCCTCCAAAACGACGTCCGACTCAGAGTCGGACGTCCATCTCTGAGTCGGGCGTTCGTTTCAGAGGAGAATGATCATTCTTCTCGGAATCGGACGTCCGATCTTGAGAACAAATAGTTTAAATGCAAAATCCAATGTTTTGAACAAAGCAAATGAAAAAGGAAGTTAAAATGGAAATTCTCTCAATTTACTTTTTTTTCTTCACAAGTAATTTGGTAATATTATGTTATGTTTGTTATGTTATGTTTGTTATGCTATGTTTGTTATAAAGGTTAACGGCACTTTAGTAGAACTTGAAAAAGCACAATCACATCAATTTCACCTTTGAATTTGAAAGAAAAAGGAAAATTTGAATCTGAATACATGTGTTTTGTTCAAAACATTGGATTTTGCATTTAAACTATTTGTTCTAAAGATCGGACGTCCGTTTTAGAGGAGAATGATCATTCCCTCCGAAACGGACGTCCATCTCTGAGTCGGACGTCCGTTTTAGAGGAGAATGAATCTCCTCAGATTCGGACGTCCGGATCGGAGATGGACGTCACCTCAGAATCGGACGTAACATATATACAAATATGTAAATATAATTTCTCCATTGCATAAAGTATAAGATCTAAAATAAGATATAAAATTTTTAAACTAGCTTTCAAGATGTACATCTAAAACATCCATTTGATCCTCTTTTGTTGTTGTTCGTCGATCAAAAAAATCCATTAGCCTCTTTGAACAACACAATTTTGATCAATTTGATGATAAAATAGCTTTATTGATGCATTTTAATTGTTCATTGTTCGTATTTGGCAAAAATACACGCTTGAAAATTATATTTACATAATTACACATCATTTGGGGATACCCGCACACAAAGGAATCAAAGCTCGTAAAGCAAAAATGATGGGAAATTGCTATAGAACAAGAAATAAATATCAGTTTTTAAATAACAATCGTTGTACTTTGATATTTAAAGTTTCAAATGAACATTGTTGAGCTCGTTACCATCTGGAATTTAACTTTATGAACATAAAAGTGAAATAAGGCTTAATTTTTGTAGATTTCCTTCTGTTCTTGGTTTATTGTGCGATTTTTATGTTTTATTTAGTAGGGTTGATCATAAAACCATAATCCACGCCTAGTTCAACAAACAAGGCTTGTAGATGTGGTTGTTTTTTTCAGGCTCTGCATCGCTGCATTGTCATGTATTTTGATCAGCGTATTAGATCTAGATCAAACCACGAAACTCACCCGATCAATTCTTGATGCTCATACGATGGATTCATGTAGCTGTTCTTTGGATCTTTCTCGGCAAAACTGTACATGGTGACTCCGTGTCGTGGACTGCCTGTTTGCACCGAGGCCACGTAGATAATCTTCTCCGGTCTCCTCAAAAACCATAGCCTAAAATTTAGATTTCATTTCTTTTCTTTAGCTTTAGGGTCTCTAGGATTAAGTGTAAAGTAGAGATTCTTCATTAGAATCATTAGAAGAATTTTGATCTGTCATGGGAAAGGTACCGAATCAACTTTTTTGCTTTTTTTAAAAAACTGTTTCCTTACGTATGTGCATTGAACTATTGACTCGAGTTTTATACAAAGTTTTTAAAAAACTTTGGCGATAGTGGGACTTGAACCTGGGGCAAGAAGTGTAACAAGTTCGGTAGTCTAGCAGACGATCCACTAGACCACCGGAGTACCTGTAAAGAGAGTGTCTGGCGGCATAACGAGCTCGAAATTCATGGTGATTTTCTATGCCAAATATCTCGCGTTTGCGAAGCGTTCTACAAAAACTAAACCTCGATCCCCATGACCGACTCTATAAGATGAAATTGGTCTTGAGTCAAAAGGCAAGCTTGATTCGGTGCCTTCCCTTGTGAGAGCAAAATTTTGAGCCAAAAGGTTTAGGATTCAAGGTCTGGAGCTCTGGATCTGTTCGGCATTTGAAAATCTTGTGGTTACTGCTTGAAAGTTGAACTGCACAGTTTTCCAACAGCACCCACCTTATCACCAATGACAGCAAACCAACAATGATTATCAAAAGCACAAAAATCAGTGTTAAATTCAAATCGGAGATCATCTGGTAAGCGGAGATCTGAAAAGAGAATTGATTGATTTATCAAAAGATTGTGGATTTAAGTGCACTCAAAAGCTTTTAAAGCTTTAAAGCTTTAAAGATCGGAGATGTCCGGATCGGAGATGAACGGAGATGAACGTAGCTTTAAAGCTTTAAAGCTAGCCAACCTGTGAAAGATTCCAATTGGGTTGACCGTTCGAGAAAGTGGCCGATTTTGTGGAAATTCCCCTTGGAATCATTTGCGCGAAAAAAGAATTCGAGAAGAGAATTTTTCTTGTCGACAAATACTTTTACAAATAGAAACGTGGCCTTTTCACCGCTTCGACACCTACAATAAAAATATTGACTTAGGGAAAAGGAATTTGAGGAAAAAGAAACTGAAACATGCACTTTTTGCAGGTAAGAATTGAAGAAAATTGGTGTTTATTGGAAAATTTCGAAAAAGACGAGTCATTTTCTTCATCAATAACAAGAAAGCCTCTAATTGGGAATCTCAAAAATATTTTGCTGAGATGGGAAATTTTAATTTTTGCTTTTGAGTTGTTTTGAGCAAAATTCTTGCAGAAGTGAGTATTTTGTCAGAAAAATTTCTTTCAAAAGCATATTTTATGTAGCAATTTTCAAAGCAATTGAAAATCTGAGCACATTAATTTAGCAAAATCATTTCTGAAAAGGTTTTATGGCAGAAAACGTCTAGAATTGTAAAATGGTTTGCTTAATCGAAAAATGTTCAATTTTTTTTATACTATTTTGGCAAAATGAGTGAAATTTTAAGCTGCAGAAAGAAAATGTTCAAGTTTTAGATGGAAATTTATTGTAGTATTGTAGCAATATGTCATATGCGGTTATGATTATCTGATTCGCTTCTATTCGCCCCTGAATAAAGCATATACCTTATTTTCTCTAATAGTAGTACAGCCTGAGCGTCGCCTAAATTCCTCGAAATCTCAAGAACCGCTTATCAGAACCTATCGATGTGGGGTCGGAAAATGTAGCTGACGATGAGATCTTGTGGAGGATTTGAGTGTTGAGCTTCTGGGAAAAATTGGAAACCGTAAAATAGTCATCAACTTGGCTCGGGAGGATGCACTACTATTAGAGAGAAAGAGAATAGGGCAAGCAGCTTTGGCAGATTATGGTAACACCTGTGAGATGATACCTCTTTCTCAGGCATTTAATTTCTAGATTACAATAATTTTGGCTGAATCCAGTGATCGCCGAATCCCGTATTCTCTCTAATAGTAGTGCATAGACAGATAAATAGATTTCATAGATAATAACCGTACTAACTGTCTTTTAAAATGAATCTGACGATCCTAGACGATTCAAAATGATCGTTAGTAACTGTAAATCTAGTAAACAAAAAACTTAATAAGTAGCATACAGTAAATTTCCTGGAAAACATGTTTTTCATTGTAAATGAGCGCTCAGGATCGTAAAGTTGACTAGTTCAGAACAAACTCCTATCAAAACCAAAGAAGTTTTTGGTTAAAATGTTTTATTTTCTAGTAAATTGATATATCGACAAAATTTTCAAGAAAGCATTTGAACAATTTCCTTTACTCGAATGACTCAATGCCATCCCTTTTATAGGGGAAGCTGAAAATGACAGAAAAATGGTTGACTGGAATCTCCAATTTCACACGGAAGCCTTCGGTTTCGGAAAAAATTTGGGTCAAAGGGATTATAGAGAAAAAAGTGAAGAAGAAAATTGAGATTTAGAAAAGTTTGCACAAGTTAGACACTCGTCATTAGGAAAGGAGAAATCCTTAAAAACAAGGAAGCTTTGGTTTGAATAAAGAAAGAGTAAAAACGGCAAGATTTCCGTTAAATAGACCTGATACTATTCAAAAGCTGTGAAAAAATATGAATTAGATATGGTTAAGATTTAATGTTTGAAGAAAGCTAGCAAAATCTCAAAATAACGTCAAAGTAAAAGTACCCGCTAAAAGGTTCTTGAATACATTAACGACAACGAGGTTTTTACGCGCTTTGTGCCGTTTCGAATGAATAAACATTACTCTGTCTAATATTTAGTATAGTCCATTTATTTGAGCCGGTTTAATTACCCAAAACCAGAAAGCTTTTCTAAAGAATTCTGTTCAAATATAAATCTTTTCTTAGGTTCATTGAATACAATGAAGCTCCACTTATTAAAAGTATTAAAATAGAACTGAAAAAGCTATGAAAAATGAATCCAATCTTTGCTAAAAAGGCGAATTCTCGGAAATTTCTCGTAGGTTTATTATTGAAGACACAAGGAAGCTTTAGTGGCCAATCAACTTCGAAAAAAGTAAGAGAAACTAAAGGAGGAAAAGGTTTGAAGAAAGAAGAATGACTAAAGTTTGCACTAAAGTGCGACTTCCTCGTTGCTTTAGAACTTTTCTCAAATCTGAGAAGAAATCCCTGGAGGATAAACCCTTTTTTTTGAGAAAGAAACATCTGAGATACCTGACTTCAAAGTTGTCAATATTAAAATTTGAAAGGATAACTTGAAAGCCATTTTTGTTTATCCAAAGCCTAGTTATCCAAATTTTATAAAATTCAGAAAGTAAGTTAAAGATTCTTTTTTTTACAGCAATCCTACCAAAATCATTTTAAATGGCTAAAACTTTTCAGCCATCTAAAAGCAAATGGGGGAATGAAATGATTTCAAAAGTTTAGGCAAAGGTGTTTAAATATTCAGAGAAGCAACGTGAGCCTTGGAAAGTGTTCATTTGAAAAGATTTCTGCCGCGGATCTTTGTTTGGACACCTTTGCAAATAACGAGCATAGTGAATTCGGACAAACATGTTTTGTTTCAATGGTTGATGATGTGGAGGAAAGAGATTTTTGAGGAATGGTCAAAGCCAAACCTCGCAGCTCACCTTCACGGAGATCATCGACAAGTTAAAGGTTACCTTTCAAGTTTAATAGCTTAACAAACAATACTTGTTTTATCAATATCTATTGGATCAATGCATATGAAATAGCTAAAGTAAATTTCTTCACCAGAGCAGCTAATTTCTGTCTTTGTTTTAAAAAAAGTTATAAACTTAAGCTAATAAAGCTAACGAATTTGTTATTTGAAATGAAATAATCAAGAAACTTTTTGATTATTAAAATCAACTCAACTTTGATGTTCTTTTGAGTCTATTATTTTGAGTTCTATTAGGTCAATATTTTTTTAAACAACATAATTCTATTCAAAGATTTCAGTGAGTTTTTATCAATATATTTTTCGAGTTTTAAAAAATAATTAGAACTAACAAAAGCCTGGGAATTAGCTCTTTATTGTAAACACTTATAAAATCATGATTTGAAATAGTTTTTTCCACAGGAATCTTTGGTTAAAAAGCTAAAAGATAACTTTTCACTAGCAACAAATCATGAAAGATCATCAGGGTAATGTTTATTCGTTCCAAAGAACGCAAAGCGCGTAAAAACGGCGCTGTCGTTAACGTATTGAAGAACCTTTTAGCGGGTTAACTCATTTTACTTTGAGATTTTGCTAGCTTTCTTCAAACATTAAATCTTAACTCTACACAATTCATATCTTTTCATAATTTTTGAATAGTTTCAAATCTGTTTAACGGAAATCTTGCCGTTTATCTTGCCTTGCCGATTATCTTTTCAAGTCTATTCAAAGATAGATAATCAACATTCAAAGTCTATTCAAAGAGAGATAATCAACATAATTCTATTCAAAGATTTCATTGAATTTTTATCAATATATTTTTCGAGTTTTAAAAATAATTTGAAGTAAAAAAAAGCTTGGGAATTAGCTCTTTATTGTAAACACTTATAAAATCATGATTTTAAATAGTTTTTTTCCACAGGAATCTTTGGTTAAAAAGCTAAAAGATAACTTTTCACTAGCAACAAATCATAAAAGAACTCTTAGGATCTTTGGTTGAGGGAAATCTGGAAAAATTTAGCCATTTCATATGCATTGACCCAATATGAACAATTGATCATTGAATAACAGGATTTTTCATTCAACTTAAGGTAGGCTGGGGTCAAAGTACTGTAAAAAATGCCACCACAGCATACTTTTCACATAGCTCAAGTCCATATTTGTAACACTTGGTTTACACGAGGAACTATAATCTGAATTAAGCTAATTGTCAGCTCTGGGCCCTTCATTCGTTAAAAAAAACCCCACTTATCTTATGTACGAATAGTTGAGATAAGTATGATCTAATGCCAATCTTAATACCGGACAGGCAAGCTCAAGTATGTAAAAGTACTTAAAATGTAGAAATTCATTAGAAAATACAATCTTCAAAATTGTTAAATATCAAAAAGAAAAGAAAACGTTTTTGTTTTTAAAATTAAACTATAAATTTAGTCGTCTAAAATATTTAACAAAATTCTATTTAACAATTCTTAATCGATTTTTTTTTAATGAAATCGTTTATTGAAAGAAAAATCGCGAAGAGAGTCAGTTTTTTTGAGTGAATTGTATACAGTTGTGGAAAAAAAGAATGGAAAAGCAAATGATGGATTGACTTTCCACGGGGCAAACATTGGCATTCAATTCTCACTGGACAACGAATGACAGAAAAAAAGAAAAAGAGAGAAGAGGTGATCATGGATCACAATGATACGCTGTAGTGATCAAAACGTAAACGTGGAAAAAAGAAAGGATCATGAGGCAGATAACTAAACAAAGAAAATTTACTTTGCAGACAGTGGTTTTGTAACATTTAAATAAATATTATTGTGATCATTGTAATTTAATTTCAAACAATTTTCGATCACTTGCAGTTCTTTTGATATTATTGCATATCAAATATCGTGAGATATTTGGTATGCAAGTTTTTTGGGTCTCTGTATGAGGGCGACGCACTGTCTTTAGTCAACGGCCTCGGTGGTGTACTGGTTAGTGCACGCATCTTATGCCCTTTTGGCTCGAGTCCTCCGTCTATATAAGGCAACCTTTCTTTTACTCTTTTTCGCCCATTTTATGAGCACGAACCTACGCAATTTATTATTATCGGGGAAACCAAGAGGTGTTAACGAAACCACAATAATATACGATCACTTGCAGTTCTTTATATCGCTGGATTCTGAAACCTTAATTGTTGTAACTATAACTGTTGTATAAAAAGAACAGCTACAAGAAATCTTATCATATTCTTTAAGATTCTAGAGTTATTACAGTCTAGTAGAAATCTATGGTACTTTAGAATAAATGAGAGGTGAAACAATGAACCCAGAATTGAGTGAAATAGACGAATCCGAGCTCAGAATGGAT